TTTACAATGTTGTGTCAAATTCCAGTGTTCAGCACAATTTTTCAGTCATTCATGGACATATACACACTCATTGTCACATTTTTTTCTGAGTTATCATAACATTTTGTGTATATTTCCCTGTGCTATACAGTGTAATCTTGTTTATCTATTTTCTGTTTTACCAAATTTTGATAATAGTTATTTTTCATGAGAAGTGATATTTAGGATAGAACCTAAAACTCATGTTGAAGCCTAAAGGGTCAAAAAAAAGCCAAGACAATTTTGAAGAAAAAGGCTAAGAAGGGATGATTTATTATAAAGCTTTAATAATTCAATGAAAATTGTATTAGTTCAGGGATTACAGAAAGATTAATAGAACAGAACAGGGCTAAGAAACAGATCCAAAAATATAATCGAAATTGGTATATGACAGAGATGGCAACAAAATAAATGAGAAAACAGTTAAACAATAATTCAGTGACAGTGGGGTAGATGGTTTTCAGTATGGAAAACAGTTAGATCCCTGCCTCACACAGTACAGAGATACAAATTTCAGATGAGTCTGAAGATCTGAAAATTTTTTCTAGTAATAATAAAACAAAATAAAACAAATGGTGGTGCACAGAAAACTTGAAAATTAAAATACATTTTTTCAAAGCTCTCTGAGGGAAATGTAAAGTCAAAGCAGTGAAATATACTCCATGTTTATCAGATTAATCAAAAATAAAACATCTGATTAAAGGCAGGCACAGCCAAAGCTGGTGGGGTACAAGGAACTCCGGGACAGTGCTCGTGGGAGTGTAAAGTGGCACACTGCTTCAGAGGGCAATCTGCAAAATCTAGGAGTCAAAGTAACAGATAGATGGTGATGTAAGCATACCTTACCACCCAGTTACTCCGCTCCTGGGGATATATCCCCTAGACACACTCTTGTACATTTCTACAAGATCCTATCAAGGATATTTCTTGCAGTATTTTTTTTTTATAATGGCAAAAGGTAAGAGCATCTTTTTTGCCCTTCAGTGGGGAATACTGAAACCCTGGTATAGCAAACAAAGACTACCTCAAAATGAATCAACTAGATCTATGATCATCAACATGTATGATCAACATGGGTCAAAAAATCACTTGGGTGCAAAAAGCAAGTCACCCAAATCAATGATAGGCCTCGGTTCACATAAAATTTTAAACACAGAATGAGACTGCACAGACTGTTGGGCACACACCCAGTCCCCACGTTACAGGTTGCATGGACTCAACCCCAAATTCTCATCCTTCACTGCCTGGATTTCCCTCTTGCTCAGCAGAGAATTTTCTTCTATTTATGGCAATCTCACACTTGTAGCTACTAATGTAACATGCTATGCTATGCTATGCTAGGTGCTGGGGAGGACAAAAGAATTATGCAAGACTCCTCTCACCCTGCAGAGGGTACAACTCAGCCAAGGAAGCTGTCTGCAAGACTGGCTCTCAATTCTCACTCTGGCTCACACAGTGTTTAAAAAGAGTGCTTAACTGTCAAGGCCCAGTTCCTTCATCTATAAAATAGGAAAGCTACTCTCCTCTTATCCTGAACATTAAATGAATATATATATAGTGTCCAACACATGCAAATACTGAGCATTCTCAACAATCCTGGGCACGGTAGCCATCCTGTGAATACAATCTTTTAAACAGCATCTAAATCACACGGATGGTGAAAAGGTGATGAATGGGAGAAGGGTGCTAGATGGGTCCACTTAGCTCTCTCCACGGCTGGATACAACACTCCCACCCTCTGTGGTTTCCCCTGGTGACTTGGCCCCCTCCCTGTGGAGCACAGGGTATCTCTTCCAGCAGCAGTTTGGCTGTGCCCAAGCCCATTTACTCATCTGAGTTCACCATGGACAGTGCTTGGTGAAGAGAGATACCTGACTCAGGAAAGAGAATTCCTTCTCTCTCACACCTTTGGAGGGATTCTGGGGTGAAATGAGACCAAAAGGATCACAACACATCTGAGCTGGCTTCTCTGCTAACCCTCTTTAAAATTCCAAGGACATACCACAGCTCTGCATTACTAAGGAGAAGGCAACAGCGGCTCAGCTCCACCACCTCCAACACACTCCTGCCTCCAACCCACAAGCCATCTTCCTTAAAAGCTGGGGTGGGTGCTATCTATGGACTTAGTAGCAGGCACCAGAGGGGAGGCCTGCCTGCCTGCCAGCCACTGGAAAAAACACAGTGTTTGGAAATCACTCTTGGAGATGCTACGCTGCTGAGTTTTATTCCTGGGATTCCTTCCGGAGGGCTTGGGAAAGGATGGTGGGTATTTCAGTTATCTGGCCCATGTGGTGCCACCTTGTGGCAAGAGCACAGAGAGTTCATAAATCACTCAGCCTTGAAATTCTGTTTCTCCACCAGTTTTTAACTTTCAGGAATTCAAAATACTTCTATTTTTATACATCAAGTGAGAATTCACTCACATCTTTTCTTCATTCATATTTTATTATCACACTATTTCAGACTTACAGTATTCATATGCACTCTATGAGTAAGCCAGCCTCCAAAGTCAGCACTGGGGTTGGGCTTGTTACATCATCCAAGAACTGGCGATCAGATTGTGGAGGGACAATCAGATCAGACTTTATCTGGGTCTTAAGACCAAATTCTTCCTTCTAGCTTTCAGGACTCACATAGGTATAACTACCTTTGGTTTGCATATATAAAAAGGGAGGTGAAAAACATTAGGCAGTTTCATTTTAGCTTTGATGCTAAAATGATAAATAATCACAGTAATCAAAATAAAACTTGCCTGACAAAACTAAGCAGGATGCTGGCTACCCTGGAGGGATACTGCCTGCAGGGGTAACCAGGAGGCTGGGAATATTCTAGGTCTTACTCTGGGCACTTGTTACACAGGTGTGTGCAGTCTGTGAAAATCCACTGAGTGTACACTTCAGGTCTGCGCGATTTTCTGTGATGTTATACCTCAAAGATCTGACCAGTTAGTCAACCCTCCTTAACTTGCCTCTGAGACAAAAGGATGTGAATACACAACAATAACCAGGAAGGCAAAAAAGAGGGGCATGCGTTGTTCTCTACGAGTTATTTCAGTCTGTGTATCAATTGCTCTAAAGGCCATGGCTGTGGAGGAGCTCTCCTTCTGGATGAGGGAGGAAGGAGACAGGACACAAGCTATACCACTTACATTGCTGAATGTGGCTAACAGTTCACTTTCTCAGAAGTGAACAGATCCTGGAGCAGATAATTCCCCCTTCTCCTCCACACGTGAAACCTAGATCACAAAGAGAATCCTGCCACTAAGGGGGTATCTACACACCATCTCCACAAAGACAACCATCACACACAGACACACTGCTCCCCCCACCAGACACAACCACCAGCTCCACAGAGACTGCCCCCAGCCCCACAGAGACAGCTAGCTTTCATCCCACAGAGACACGCCACAGATGTGTTGGGGTGGGGGTAACTAAGAGAGATAGGGCTGTCCATGGCCAGGCCAGCAACATCAACGGGAAGATGGAGAGGAGTAATTTCAAAGCCTTACCAAACTAAATTTGTCAGGAAAGAAGGATTTTTAGATCTGTGAATAGGTCCCAGAGGCTGCTGTGAAAATTTATTTAAATCACCCCCATTTCCACCCACAGCTAGATCCTCTTAGATTGTCTTTCTTTGACTTTCACATCTGTCATGTCCTCTGAACCCTCAACTGCCTCAGTGAGATTAAAAGCAGGGATTATTCCATTTTATAGATTAAAGAGTTGAGGTTCAAAGATGTTTGTCAGACATCATAAAACTAAGTGGTCATCTCATCTCTGAGTTGGGGCGAGGGAGGCTAAGTTGGAAGAACGGGGTGATAATGTCAAAAGAGGAGGGGTGACCCTCTCCCAGCCCAGAGCTCTGGGAATCCGCCCAGAGCCCCACAGGAGCTGCCTCAAAGGATCTTGAGTAAACGAGGCACCTCTGGCGACATTTACACATTTTGGGACTGGACGCCACCTTCCCCTGGGAAGGTGTGAAACAAATCCAGATCAAGGGGTAAGGAGCGGAGCTGGCAGAAATAAAGCCAGAGTCAGGGCATTTTCTAAGAGCAGATGGGTGCTAACCCCAGGCGCACCGCTTCTCTTAGGAAGCCCCGGGGCCCAAACTGGTGTATGCAGTTCTAGTCTCTCACATACTTATCCTCGGGGACAGGGCTTACTTGGGAAACAAAACGGGATGGATCTAAGTGCAGGGACCTAGCAAGTTCCCCTACTCTGCGGAGGCAGTAAATTAAGTGACAGGGGATGGAGGAGCTGCAGCAAATGCCGTAGGGCCAGGGGTTCCAACGCGGAACCGCTCCGCCCCGCGCTCCCGGAAGGTCCCCCGCGGCTACCTCCAAACCTCTGTACGGTCCCTTAGAGTCGGCTCCCGACCCCTCCAAATGCGGCGGAGTTGGAAGGGAGGGAGCTGGCGCAAGGAGACCGGGATGAAGCTGAAGCGAGCACTATCCCACCCCGAACGGCCGCCCTTCCCCAGGCTATCCGAGAACCGGGCCAGAAGCTCTCAACTCCGATTCTTATTCCGCGCACCTGCCGTGACCTTGAGCGAGTCCCTGATTAGCCCCATTTTACAGAAATCAAGAGTGGGTGAGAGTCAAGTCCGCCGCGCTGGGCTTCTTCGGGGCTTACCCGAGGGTTTGAGGCGCGCCCGGAGCGTAGTAGGTGCGTGGTGAACCGCAGTCCAAGAGCTACGTGGCCAAAGGGGGTCAGAAACCGCGAAGGAAACGCAGAGCCGAGCTCAGAGCCCGGCAGTGGGAGAAAGGGGCGGTTTCGATTCTGCGACGACCCCCTAGCAAGTTCGCTACCCACCCCCCACGCCCCTCCGCAGAGGCTGACTGGCCGCGCCCGGGGGGCCCTGGTTTAAGGACGCGCACAGGGTTTGCGGGACGCTAGACACCTCCACACGCCCACCCCCGAAGTTGCGGCAACGTAAGAGGGAGAGTGGCGCAAAGCCGCTAAAGGGGAGGGGGCGGTACTCACACGGAGTGGCCCGGCTGGAGCAGGTCCGTGACCCGGGTCATCGATGGCGGCCGGGCTCAGGCCAGCGCGCCTCAGGACGCCTGGGGTACCTGCCGCAGCGCGCCCCGTGGATCAGGAGGCTGCGGGCAGCAAGGCAGGGGCGCGGGGCGGTCGGCGCGCCAGATACGAGCTGCAGCGTCGCGGGGACTCGGCCGCCAGAACCGCAGCCGCAGCGGGAGCACGAAGCGGGCGCAGGAGGCGGGAGCGTGGCGGCGGCAACGTCTGCGAGGGAGGTGCCCACGCCGCAGGCAGCCAGGGCCAGCCTGGCCACAGCCCCTGCCGACACCTGCGGGCCCGGCCGACGGCCAATCAGAGACGCCCCCGGCCCGAGGCGCGTGCGGAGGCGGAGCGGGGGCGCGTGCGGAGCGCCCAGCGGGAGGGGAGCGCGTGCTCGCGCCTGCGCCGGGGCCGGGGGTGCCTGCCCGGCGGGCTTCTCAGGCGCTCCCCGTGCGCGCGGGCGGCGTGCGCGGGGAGGGGCGGGGCGCAGCGGGAGGCGGGGCTGGGGCCGCGCGCGCCAGGGACCCGGCCTCGCGCCTCAGGCTGGACTCCTCCTCGGCGACCTGTGAGGTGTTGGGGCCGTGACCCGCGAGTCCCCAGGCGAGACCTCAGGTCATTCCTAGCTTTGAAGTAAGGCTTTTCCTGCCTCTGCCCTTGAGCCCGGGGTGCCCGGACCCACCCTGACAGCCGGGTGACCGGTCACCCGAATCCGGGGCCGGCCTGGCTCCCGGAGTGTGGGCGCCCTCCCCCAGCCCGGACTCACCAGAGCCGGCTTAGCGCGTCTCCAAAGCAGCTCTTCCTCACTTCACAGTGCCTAGGTATTTCAAGTCACCGTTTCATTCTCTCCTGAATTTACTGCGCTAGCGACGCTCCTTCGTTCCACACGGACTGACTGGTTTCGAGCTTGGCTCGGAGAGCATGCTGTCCCAGGCTACTGCGCGCCCAAGTGTCCCAAAGCCCGCATTTCTGCCGCACCGCCGGGTTAGTGAGCCCACACTGTCAGAAGGACGCCCAGAGATTGCTGCGGGTGAAGAACGCGTTTGGGCTCTTGCGTAGAGTTCCAGGGCCCGGAACGGGTCCCCTCCAGGCCAGGGCTTCATTGCGTATTTGCATCCATCAGGGCACAGGGCCCGGAATCCTCTTAAGACGGACTGCCTTAGCCCCCATGTGAAAGCTCATCGTCAGTTTTCGCTGCAGGACAGAAGTCGCGCCATCAGAATAAAGCTACATGGGTGATTCCTAGAACCCTGGAAATCCTCTTTCAGGACCCTGGATTGAGGCTGTCCTCGCCGTGTAAATTTGCGCAGTGGAAATGGACGGCTCGTTTGCTGATCTGTCCGCAGCAGCCAAAAGAGAACCAAAAAATCCTCTAAGAGAACTTGGAAGGTAAAGGAGTTGATTTTTCTAAAGATCTGGCTCCCTCTCTCTGAAGGGGATTTTATTATCCACAAACTGGTCAAAGTGGAAGACAGCTTGTGTTTTGTTTCTATTTCGTTTACATTCAATTTTAATTTATTTATCTCTGCTCCATTAGCATTGACAGTGGTACGAAATTTTTGAAGTGCAGATGAACACACAGTCAACAAGACTCCCTGCCACCCTTGTCTCCCAGCCTCTCAATTTCTCCTCCTGGGGGCAACCATTGCTATCACTTTGGTGTGTACACTCCTAGAATCTGCATATACACAACCAAACGTATTTGTCTAAGTTATTGTTACCTTTTGTTGTATATAACATGGTAGTTCTAAATTCAGGCACAGGCAGATTCAGGGGTTCTCAAGTGATGTCAAAAGTAGAACTTTCTCTTCCTCCCTCCCTCTTTCCTCTTCTCTCCTTCCCCGTCTCCTCTCTGTTTCTTCTCTGTGGGCTTCATTGTTAAGCTGACTTACCCTATGTGGTGGTCCCTGGCAGCTTCAAGCTTGTCTTCTCAACTCTAAGGATACAAGAATGAGGCGAGTCTTTTCTTTCCCAGAGTGCACATTAAACCCAAGAAGCCTCATGTGCCCTGGTTCAGTCATACCCTACCCCTTGAGCTGTCTAGAGCTTGGGGATTCTGATTGTTTGCAACGGCAGTGAGGTGAACACAGTGGTGAGAGTAAATCTCCCCAAATGTTTGCAGGTAGTTCATGACTGGTCCACAGTAAGCCACGTATAAACACGCATGTTCATTTATGTCCAGACATTGTGAAGACCTCCACTTCTGCAGGCCAGCAGGGTCAAAGTTGGAATGAAGAATGTGAAACAATTGTAGTCCACATGTGGCCTGCCAGTGGCTGCATCAGGACAAGAATGGGCGCTGGGTTCAAAGGTTATTTGACATCATGCACGTGTTTGCAAAACTGTTTGCAAAACTAACCTAAAATACAAACTCACCTCTTTACAAGCTCTTTCAGAAACAAGATCCTAATATCTTCCCTAAGTTATAAACATTTTAAAGGAAAGACAAATATGGAATTGTTCAGTGATTTGGACAAGGTCACAAATAAAACAGGAAGAAAGTACAGATGGAAATCCAGAGATGTGATGACTGAGAAAGAGCCCCAGTTCCCTATTTGTTGTCCTTTAGGTCAGAAACAAGCGCAGGTTCAGTACTTCACCAGAGCTATTACTGATTTTTTTTACTTTCCCCATGAAAGGTTTGGCATTTGAAGATGATTTGAGTAACAAGAAGGTGACTCAAAATGCTACCTTCTTGATTACTCCATCCTGGCTGCCATCCAGCAAAATTTTATTGAAGTCCAGCAATATCCATCCCTTCTTTTGCCCCCTCATGAATCACAGGCAGTGCTTGCTTCTCCATTTTCTGCATAATCTTGACCACTGTAAGAGTTTTAATAGATTCTCCCTTTATCATGAAGAGCTCATTGACTTTCGTGTACCAAGGAAATGTTTTTGTGCCTTCTTTTAAAACGTGAATCAGACAGCCCATTTCTTAGCCAGAAGATTGATGAGTTTATACCGGAAAAGGACGTGTCTCAGAAGGATTCTGGGTAAAATTAAATGGGCATTAATCACAAGCTTACCATTTCTTGTCTGTGTGACCTTGAGCAGCTTACTTAACTGTGCTGAAACCCAGATTCCCTAAATGTAAAATATGGTGTAATCCTCTCCACTGCCCTACAAGATTATTATTAATTGATACCATGTATATGAAATTGCTTTGCACATAATGAAATTTAATATATGTTGTCTAAAAATTATATTTTTTAACCTGGAAAAAATGAGTCAATAGAGGACGTTTCTATGCCATTTTGTGGCATTCTGTGGCATAGAAGTGGTGAGACCTTCACCCACTACTTCCCTATCAGCCAAAACGTATCTGATTTTCCAAAAAATGTCTCTCTCCCTCTCCTATGCCACTTAGCACTTGTTATATAATGTGCGTTATTTGGGTGTATCTCCAGTCTCCTCAACTAGACTGGAAATGCCTCAAAGTAGGGACCATGTCACGTCTCTGTTTCCTATGGGTACCTGGAACATTACCTTGATAAATTGTAGACATACAATAATTAAGTGTTGAATGAAAAGTAAGTGGATGAAAGGAAAAATTGGACGTCATCAAAAAAATTTTTTTAAATGTGTTCTGTGAAAGACCCTGTTAAGAAGATGAAAAGACAAATGATGTATCGGAGGAAATATTTTCAAATAACATCTGAAAAGGACTTGTATCTAGCATATATAAAGAACTGTCAACATTCAGTGGTATAAACCCCCAAACAATCTAATCAGAAAATGGGCAAAATACATGTAGAAGTATTTCACCAAAGAGGATAGACAGCTGGCAAATAGGCACATGAAAAGATGATCAATATGATTAACCATTAGGGAAGAAAATTAGAACTATAATGAGGTATCACTCCATACCTGTCAGAAAGGGTAAGATAAAAAATAATGACAACACCAGATGCTGGGGAGGAGGCAGAGAAACTGTCACTTATGCACTGCTGGTGGGAATATAAAATGGTGCAACCACTCTGGAAAATAGTTTGACTATTTCTTTTAAAACTAAATCAGACACCCCAGCCTCCCCCCCCAACTGCCCATACAACCCATCCTTTTCACCTTGGACATTTATTCTAGAGAAATGAAAACTTCCATTCACACAAAAGCTTGTACAAACCCAGCCACATCAGACCAGCCCTCACAGCCCCACCACGAGACCAGAGGACCATGACACACATCCAGTTTGCCTGCTGTGTGAGGAAGCAAGATGGACCCCAATGGACTAAGTAAACACGCGTGTCTTTGGGCAATTCAAGTGGGAAGGGAGGCTTCAAAATGGAAATTCTGGATTTTCGGCTCTTCAGCAGTGATGAATTAGAAAAATAAGAGACACGTGACCAGATATGTATCTTCAGTTAGGAAACAGATCATACTGGACTAAGTAGAAATAGAAATGTGGTGAAAAGAATTTGTTTCTGGAAAGTACAGAATTTTCCTACTTTTTAGAACAACTTCTGTCTTTTTTTTTTAGAACAACTAATATTTTATTATGCAGCTCTTCATTTCCTACTAAATAACGGCTTTTAAAAAGCTTTGCTGCTTTCTTTAGCAAAGTTGATTCCACCCTGGAAGGACAATGTGGAAATAATCAAAAATTTGTCATTCACTGACTAGGGCATCTAATAAGGGACCTTGAAGTTGCTGAGAGCTACTGACAATAGCAACATTATTTTACAGGCATGTAGATGATTACTGACTTACAGAACCTTGGTTTGTGACTGTCTCCTGTTACAATTTTTCCTAACTATAAATCAGGTCCCTGCAATAAAGCCCAGACTTGGTGAATAACCTTTATAGCCAAGTCAGATACACTACTTCTCCGAATCTCGAACCAGTTCAGATCCACAGCAGCTGACTGAGCCTGCAGCTGAGCTAAGGACTAATAAAATTAGCAATAAGGAAGGCCCGGAAACTTGGCCAGGGCCGTATGTGTGAGTGTGTTGCTCCTTCATAACAATCCTCAAACCCTGAGGGATGGTTTAATCGTCTTGATCTTATTCACTGAGGCTTAGCAATAAGGTTGTTATTGAAATGGCAAAGAAAAGAAGACAGATGGACCTGCCCTCTTTCCTCTGCCTGATCCTCCCTGCTCTGCGTTTTCTTTATTCCGTAGCGCTTGCCACCCTTTAACACAGTATTCACTTTCTTACTCTGTTTCCTATTTATTGTCTGTCTGCCTGCACTGGAATATACGCTGTGTGAGGGCAGAGCTCTTTGTTTTGTTCACTGGTATCTTGAAGTGCCTCGGACAAAGCCTAACACAAAGGAAGTGCTGGATAAATATGCACTGAATAAAAGAGGATGCCAGAGAAGATTTACACCACCATTTACAATTCAAAGATGCTGAGAGGCTTCCATGCCTGCTGAATATTCAGACTGATCTTTCCAATCAGGTGACCTGAATTTTCATGTATTTTCAAGTTCCTTCGAGACTG